AATAAATTGTATTTTTTAAGAATATGTTAACATTAAAATTATTTTTTTCATTATTATTGTTATTTTATATTAGTAGGTCAGATTTAGCATGATAGGATTAATTCATTACTTTTGTAAAATTGTTTTAAGTAATATATACATTTATTAATGTTGATTTGATTGTTTGTTTTGTGTATTTATAGTACCTATTGAGAAAACGCTACCACTTGAAATATTTCCAAGTTTCTCTAAGAAGCAAAATAATATTCTATTCTATTCTATTCAGTACTATTCTATTCTACTTGAAGAACCGTGATAGACGGTGCGGTTAGTGGTGAGGTGGAAGAGTAGGCATTACTTACCTGTACCTCGCTAGAAATAGACATTATTATTATTATTGTTATTATTATTATTATTATTATCATCTGTTGTATTATAAATCGCACAATACAACTGAACACAATGAAGAGGTGATTTTTAGAATTCAAAATATATTGCCATAAAATATTCAAAGGCGAATGTTTGGTTGTGTTCTTTGTTAGCGTCTGCGTTGAGGACCACTCCAGCCCAGTGCACGTGTCTGCGCGGCAGCGTCGGTCGGCGCCCACAGCGCGTGGCCCGGTGGGCGGAAGGAGGCAGCCGACGAAAGGAGGGACGGCACAGGGCTCTGGTGCATCGAATCCCACTTCAGCCAATGAGCTTCAGGCACCAGTTCGCGTCCCAATATTAGCGGGAACACAAAATGCAGACAGATACCAAAATTATCACCTCGTTACAAGACATTGGAACAGATTTATGAAGCATTTATTTTAAATATTGCGTCTTGTACACCTTCATCCTGTTGTTTTTGGTTGGTTACCGTTGAAAATTGTCACTTAGGGCTACTTTATGAGGCCAGCGTTTGGTCTGGCTTTGCGAACGAAGTGCCCGTGGTGTGGTCACGTGGTTCGTGACGCAAACTTGTGCTACCCAGAACGAGTGAAAATTGGTGCGACGGGGTAACTCACCCGTTATTTCCACCATGGGGCGGTTCGGAGGGGCTGAGGTGGAATATGAAGGTGGGAGGAATAGTTAATGGTGATTGGTGTGCCGCGAGGGCTGGGTATAGGTGTTGACAATGGAGCAGTTTGTACAGAACCCACAAGAATAGATGGCATTGGAGTGGTGGTAGAGAGAGTTGTCTAAACGGAGTGTGTTGGTTCGGCAAGAGCTGGTTTTGGTTCGGCGAAGAGGATTCGTTGGGCGAAGGAGAGGGTTGATTGGACGGAAGAGGATGCGAATGGGGGTTGGCGCGGTGAAGAGCAAGTCAATGTTAAGCCAATGGAAAGGAAGGGGATGGCCAGTGGTGGTGGTTGATGGTGACGGGTACTGCCGCTTGATGGTGAAGGATGAAGGGAAAGAGGCAGGCAACAGTCATGGACCACAGCAACAGACGGCGATCCACCCTTCGAAGCAACCTGTTTGAACCGGTGCTGCACGGTGGCGGGGCGTGGCGTGGCGCGAGGCGGGGCGGGGCGGGACAGGGCGGGTCTGGGCGAAGCGAAGCGAGGCGGGGCGGGGCGAAGCGGGGCGGGGTGAAGCGAGGCTGAGCAAAAGCGAGCGGGGCGAAGCGGGCGGGGCGAAGCGGGGTGGGGCGAAGCGGGGCGGGCGAGCGGGCGGCGAAGCGGGGCGGGGCGAAGCTGCGTTGTGGGGCGGGGCGGGGCGGGGCGCGGGCGAAGCGTGGCGGGGTGGGCAGACGGTTGCGGACGGGGGGACGGGCAGGAAGTGAGGCGGGACGTAAGTGGAGCGGGGCGGGGCGGGGCGGTTGTAAGTGGCAATGGGTGGCGATGGCGTGTAGGCGGGCAGAGAGGAGGAGAAGCAGCTGTAAAGGGATCCTGGGCCGCCCGCGTGGGAGAGGCTGGGCAGCGGAGTGGCCTTCCTGCCCGGGCGACGCGTTTATGGGCGTGTCGCGCCACGCGCCTGCAGGGGGCGTCTGCGGCGGCCGGCGATTGTTTTGGGGAGCGCATAAAGCATTCGGGGCGTGGGATGGAGTTGGACACCTGTAGAACCAGCAGATTGCTCACGTCTGTCCGTGTTTCGAGGGAAATCAAGCAATCTTTGTGCAAAATATCTTCCCAATAAATCTGAGAATTACTGAATTGTTTTTTTTTGGTTACAAACACAAGAGTTGTTTAAATCTTTTAGTTATTAACGAAAATAATTTGGAACTAGTTCCAAATATTCGGCAATATTTAAATGATGATTTCAAAAGGGAAAATAGATTTTTGTTTAACACGGGAAGTTTTATTCAGCCCATGTTGCGAAGTGTTAGCATGTTCCAAAAATGGAAAATAATATGTAAAAGAGTCTTATAATTTGTAACATCTTTCATTAGTATGAAGCAAACTCTTCTCCAATGAAACAGTGAGAAAGATTACATTGCATCAGATAAGTGTTACAGCTTCAAATACGGCGTTCGTCTTAGCATTTTCTCCAAGCAAACGCGTTGATGGACCTTGTAAGGTGTCATAAATCCATATGTGTTAAGATAGGGGTAGAAAGTAGGACACGAGAGATATTAAAGACCCATCAAACGCATCATGTGTTAGATCCAAAAATGGGAAGAACGTTAAAGTGTGAAAAAAAGAAAAAATCATAGAGGCGACGTAAATATCGAAAATGAAAGTTGAGGACACGAACGTTTCTTCCTGGGTGAAAATTTGTGAAGAAAAGTGTCTGACTATTATGGTTTCACAAGAACGACAATGCTGTCATCGTCATGTATTTGTTGGTATCAGCTTAGGGACTACAACCTATGCATAGGCATTTGCCACCATTCAAAGGAGCAAAGGAAAGAGAAAAGCTTCGTATCCTCGGTTAGTTTCATAACTTTGTGCACTTCCCCGGACAGAGTGAAGAACCTTGCGATGGCAGCTGCTTCTGCGCACGCTTGCGAAGGGCACAAGTGCAACTTCACTTGTGCGTCAGTGAAGTTCACAGACTCGCCTACACTTGGAACCCAGTTAGGCGTAGGATCTCGAGATCATAGAGCAATAACGGCATCAGATTAAACAGTTTAACATAATAGTAAATTCGAAACGCCTTGGACAATGCCTAGTTTACTAGTGTAAATGTTTATTTATTTAATAGGTAATTATTACAAAAATAAATTTAATAACTTGATACTGTGAGGTTAAGTCGAAGGCCTTTTAGTCATTACAAAACCAGACAGTGTTAAAGTTTTCTATCACAATATTCTAAGTCTGAAAAAATCAAGTCCATGATCGTGTCCCGTAGTTACCAATTAATCAGATGCATGAAACCACAATATATAAAATAACCAGAAAACAAACTGTAGCTCTTGGAGCAGTAATCAAAAAATTCCATCAGCTACAGCAAACCTCCCATTATTTGTAACCGTTAATATTTATATTTTGGGGAAAGAATGGCTTTTTACTATATTTGTCCTAATCTTATTTATGAAAAGCTCGGGGTAGTAACAAGATGAGACGCATTCCGTCTAAAATTAAGATAATAACATTTACTAACAGCCGGTGGCTGGCTGATGCTGGTGTGGCTTATCGTATTACTGCCCCAAGCTCTTCAATTGTGTAACACTGAACAGTCTCTGCTTGCTTGGAAGTGGTGCTGCTGTCTCCAGAGGCCACGAATGGGCGGGTAGAGTTGGTAGATCAGGCGTGGACAATTCGAGGGCCACAGAGAACATTTTGCAGATGAAGCCAGCACTGTTGAACTACAGTGAATATAGTGTTTGAATAAACCCAGTGTGCATAAGTGGATTTTATGCTATAAATTCATGTATGTATCGGTCCGAGTTCAATCTTGCACAGTTAGTTGCCTTCGTTCAATGAGTCTAGTTTATAGTATTCACTTGAAGTATAGACTATGAGTCTCAATGAACACGTAACTTAAGTTTTCTCTCCGTAGTACTCACGTACCATCTGAACTTCTTTTGTGTAGTCGCGTACCACCTCTGTGAACCCCACGCAGCACATCCGAAGGCGGTAACTCGTCTGAGCGAGAGGAAAAGAAAGAAAAAAGTCCCCCGCCCTCCGCTAGTTTCATAACACTGACCCAGCGTCCGCGCGGAGAGAAACCTTGCGAGTGGAGCCTGTTGCAGGGGCCGCGCCCTCGCGCTCCGGGAGCCGAGAGCGGGGCCCTTGAGCTCCCGAGCGCCGCTTTGCGCAAGCCCCGTTCCGCTCCGAAGGAGATGCGGCTCCTCGCCGCCAGGGGCGCCAGAGCGGGGGGTCCGGGCACGCGACCCCCACAATTTTAATTTTAATTTTTATTTTTTAGTGGTCTCAGAATAAATGCTTTAATACATTTCTAGGGCATCTAAATGGGTAGAAAATGGTAACGTTTTGCTAGTGAACATATAGTGGGAAATTGCTTATTACCAGGGCTCGGATTCTGATGACATGTCATTTTTTATAGGTTAATTCCAGACGTAGCTAACGTGTAAATGAATATCTAATTTTAACATATGGGTGGTGATGAAATGTATAGTTATTGGGAAATTTTTTATCTTCGTTTTGCGATTTTTGAAATTTTAGGCCTTTTATTTTTAGCTTTGCCCTTTTTTCATTTTTATGCGTTTTGTGTCCTTTTCGTGTTTTTTGTTACTGAACGTTTCATGAATTTACGATGACATACTAAAACATAGTTTTAATTGCATCATCAGTTCATGACAAAATTCATTACTGCAGGGAACTCTGTTTTTCGAACTGTGAAAATTACGCGAATCTTTAGTAACCTCCCCCATCTTTCAAAACTGACGGTTGGAAGATTGGAGCTAAGGATTACATTTCCTCCTAAACTACTATATATTAAACATAATTTTACATAAAATTGTAAAATTCATTGAATAAGTAAATATTTTTGTACACATTATTTAGGTTTTTTACAAACATTAGATCGATTCCCACTTATTTTTGTTATTTTATAGGTCATGTTCAAACAAATTTCAGGACATCAGAATTCTAACCCTGCATATTATTGAGTGTGAATGTTGTGTGTTGCAGATGCGGCGCGCGGTCCGGGAGCCGCCGTCGCGCTCGGCGCCGGGGCCGGGGCTCGGGTCTGGGCCCGGGGCGGGGGCGACGGCAGGGGCGGCACACCCGCCCGTGCACCCGCCCACCGCCCCACGGCCGCGCCCCCCCCACCCAACACCAACGGGCTGCCCCCGCGCCGCCGCACCGCCCGCAGCGACGCCCCCGGCGCCCGCGCCCTCGCCCGCCGCCCGCAGCGCCAAGAACATGGGCGTGAGCTCCCTCAAGCGCAACGCCTCCGCCTCCGCCGTCACCGTGCTCGACGGAACGGTGAGTGCGCTGCAGCAGCAGAAGCTCCTCAGCGATTGGATCGCACATTTAGAACACTTGACACCAAATCACTTTGCACCACAGCACTTTGCTCTACAGCACTTTGCTCTACAGCACTTTGCTCTACAGCACTTTGCTCTACAGCACTTTGCTCTACAGTACTTTGCACTACAGCACTTTGCACTACAGCACTTTGCACTACAGCACTTTGCTCTACAGCACTTTGCTCTACAGCACTGTGCTCTACAGCACTGTGCTCTACAGCACTTTGCTCTACAGCACTTTGCACCATGGACTTTTGCACCATGAACCTTTGCACCACAGCACTTTGCACCATGGCACTTCGCACCATGGCACTTTGCACCATGGTACTTTGCACCATGTCACTTTGCGCCATGGCATTTTGCACCATGGCATTTTGCACCGTGGCACTTTGCACCATGGCACTTTGCACTGTGGCACTTTGCACCATGGCACTTTGCACTGTGGCACTTTGCACTGTGGCACTTTGCACTGTGGCACTTTGCACTGTGGCACTTTGCACTATCCCACTTTGCACCGCAACATTTGCTCATCGAAGTCGCTGTGATGCCAGAAAGGTTTTGATGTTGGGCCTCCACGTATGTCGGTGTCTTTCCCCGTCATGGAAGATGCGCAGGCGTCGACACACATTTCTAGGTCATTTCGCAAATATTGAAAACTGCAGCAAATAGGAGTGATTCTAAGTAATTTACTTACGCGTGTGTACTATGCATTTTTAAAGTGAATTACAACACTAAGCGCAGAAGGTTACTATGACTATTAGAAAAATTAATATAATAAATACTGCACCAAGAAATTATGTTAATTTTTGAATTTTTATTCTTTAACGAACAAATTCGGCACAATAATTTATTAATGTTCATTAAACGACCCTATAGTTTGTTCTATAGTTACACTTTCTTATTTATAACCTTGTTTAAAATGTTCTTCCAAACTTCACATCATGGCGTAGGCTATCCAAATATTGTTTGATGATGGAATTGTTGTTAAATGATGGAAACTAGGCATTCACACGCTGGTGATCCTCGAGAGGTCAGAATGCATTCATTACAAAATCTTCGAACAACGAAAGGTGGTGGTGATCACAGATGTTTTTAATTTACCGTTTATAATAATCCTCCCGGCGGATTAGTAATAAGTCTTGGTTGCCTCAGTGCCTCCAGCCGGACTCTTCACTATCACCAATATTTTCAGACTTTTTCCATCTCCCACTTCTGGAGCCCCTGGTCTGGAAGCAGTGGTGGTGGATGCATCCGACCATGGTTAGGAGACCCCTTGTATAATGCGCAACGAAGTGTTGAGTTGAAGCGTTGAGGGTGAAATGTCTTATGAACTATTGCCACGTATAACCGTTTAATCACACGTGCAGTTACTGCGACCTAGAAAGAGTACTGCGACCTAGAAAGAGCAAACAGCTATTGAGGTATCCGCTGTGCTGTACCATTTTAGGTTCAAATCCTTCTGAAGGAATGCATGAGTAAACCTCATTATTTCGTGGAAATCAAAACTAAATACTGTGTATCCCATAATTACATCAAAATCATCTTTGAGGATATTATGATACAATTGCCTGTGGCGTGACGTCCGCTCTTAATGCTTTAACCCGAAAGTCTGCTTCCCTTAGCGACACGCGACTGCCACCCCTGGCATCATCGTGCTTGTCGGAACGATTCCGTCTAACCGAGAAGGAATAATTAACGAGCTGTCGATATTAAACAAGTAATGCGCTAAGAAGCATCGAACAGCTCGAGTGCTGTGAACAGTGGATGGTGACGAGTTTAATGAACGAGCGCGACATGTACGAACGTGCAGTTATGAGTAGTGTGACCTAAATACAGAATAATGCGGCAGTGGTGACAGGTTTCCACTACAGGAGTGTATTCCAGTGTTGAATAAATTTTAGATGTGTGTTCATCTTGGGATTGTGTCGTGGAAAGCAAAGCAATCAATTTAACATGAGAATTACTCGGCAAAGAAAATAGTTCACTGTTATGTGGTCCTAAGTGATTGAGAAGTAGATCAAAAAGAAGTAATTTTCAGTGCACATACGACATACAAGAAGTAAAGAAGCATTTTAATGTTCATATGAATGGTAAATTAAACGAATGGTAGCGCGGTGGTAAGTGAATGTGGAGTTTAACAATTCAATTTTAAAGTATTATGAATTCCCGACTTGTAACCAAAGTGTAGGTATAAGTCTCAATTTCGAGACGCTAATAAAGTAAGATTAAAAAAGTTACTGACGTCCTTACAAAACCAAATAAATGTGCCAAGAAATGTTTCTCACACGCGCGTACATACGCCAGCGAAAATTATCATGTTAATATTTTGAATGTACAAACAATTGTGCAGAAACCTTTTGTTTCAAAATCTAGGGTACTATATCGCACACTAGTAAATCTCGGAAAATGAAACTTCAACAAATATGCGTTTGAAGTTTTCACTAGTCTTTACATAAAGATATCACATGTTACTAATTGATGAATTAAGGCGTAAGATTTACCAAAAGACTTCATACAAGTTCTGTTAAAACTAATAATAATTTAATCCGGTCAGCAATCACTTATACTCTCTCCTATACACTCTCTCACACAGTCACGCATACACAAGGCTCGCTGCTAATGTAGACTCGACCTCACAACCTTTCCAATCAAATCGTAATTGTGATCCTTACTGTTATATTGGTTGTGAAATTCAAAGGTAATCAGTGCAATTGGAAATTCTCTGAATAAATAGTGTTCGGAAGCCGGTAAATGAAGAAAAAAGTACACTTCTACAGTTGATCTCAATGCGCCCACTAAATGTTGACTTACTCGTCTCTGCAAGATACTTCTCTCCGTATGAGAATAGTGGAAACACATTGCGAATGGTGTTTTATAAAAACATTGAAATTCTACTGTTGAATCAATGGTTAATGGATCTGAGTGGAAGCCAAAGGAAGAAGTCCAATTCCATTAAAATTCTAGACTATTTCTGGTGTACTCAAACTAGTCTGTAGACCCCGCTTGACTGGCTGGCTGGATGGCGGAGAAAGCCAAATAGGGCCATTGGAATGTGAGAACATGACCAGATTTCCATTCGCCCAAAATGTCCCTGTAGCTTGCACTACTAACCTATCAGTTTCCGGTCCGCATGGTACGCGTTATTTATCGGGGATATCTCCCTGATTCCTCCTCAACCTGGTAGTTGGCTGTTCAGGTTCTTTCTCGCTTCTCATCACCTGCTGGCTTTCGCGAAGTTTTACCCACAGCGCCGTGTATTAGGTCGGAAAGCTGTAAAAGTCAAGCACTCCACAAACATACGAGTAAATGAAGTGCATCTCTTCTTCACTTGACAGCAAGGCAGTAAATGGAAGGACGCTTCCAGGCACAAGAATAATGCTTTACTACTCTGGTGGGGTCTTGCAGTCCCCCGGCCGAAGTATATGTCATTGTAATTCGGAAACTAATTACTAGATAGTGCTCACGTAGCCAGTAGCTTCAATGACATTGTGTTATTAGTTTTGACTTGTTGTGCGAAGTAAATTAAAGTTTATTTTTGGAATTTAAGGGGAAAATGTTTCAGAATACCCCTCCTTAGTGTTAACGTAAGTTATTTTCCCTTCCCTTGATTGATGTTTTGTGTGTATTTTGACCGTTACGATTTGTGTTACAGTATAATCACAAAGCAAACTCCCCTTTCTTCAACATTCTCTGAGTCAGAACCAACTAGAAAAGCAAGATGCTACATGCGAGAAATACGGACAAATATAGCTTGCCATAAAGTGCTGTTAACAAAATGCCCAGATCACAGAAATTCAGTGTGTACAAATTTTTTGAAATCTACCTTTTTATTAATATTATAAACTCTGTAAAATGGTTCAAAGAACAAAATTTGAAATGATTTTTTCATTGAGATAAATAGTGATATACTTCTTGGGGCAACTGAGGACCCCACCAGAGCTTAGGCGTAAGTGAATTTCACCAGAGTAGTTAAGGGATAAAATAAGAGGAATACCGAGTCATCTGTCTTGCATTAATAACTGTTTTATGTGCAGTTTGAAGTTTGCGCCTACTTAAAAAAAGAGAAACAGTAATCGTAGTGTTTGCTCAGTGTTCTGGCATCACGACATTAAGAGGCTTATCTAAGTGATACTCCACAAAAATAAGGTACTGCTGTAGTTAAAACCTTGAATACAACACAAATTTGCCGTGTGAATAACTCAAAATGTACGTTATTTAAAAATCTTGAAATACTATAGGCTGTAACAAATTATCACTCAAGCACAGTTATGTAATGCTGCGGGGTAAAAACGCGAATTTTCAACTAAAAAACTCTTATTACAGGACTCTGGCAACAAAATAGTGAATAAATACAGTTGTTAAATTTAGAAAAAATCCTCCAACACGTGGTATTGCCAGAATCCATGTTTTGTGGGTTATTGATACCGAAAAATCGAATGACGACAAAACGTCCGTCCGTCTGCGAGTCCGTCCGGCCGTCCTTCTGTGAATAACGCTAGAGGTTAAACCGTTCAGGCGATTTTCTCCAAAGTTCTCAATCAATCGGAGTTCATCAATCAAAGTTCTCAATCTGACGGATGTTGCGGCCCCTTGAATTTGAAACCGATATTTTAATTTTGGAGGGTACTTTACATGAAGCCTCGGAAACATTTTCCAAATTTTTCAAAAAACTGGCAAACCGTTTTTGATTAAATTTTGATATTGTAAAGTTAGTGTTAGTGTGAAGAACGTTTAACAGAATGGTGCACGTTTCTTGTTCGTTAAAAATTCTACTTTTTCGAAAATTGCAAAAGTTTATTTTTTAGGGGGGGAATCTTCCTACAACTAAAATATTAAAGATAGAGATTTTTTCCCTTAATAAAATCTGTTCCTTAAATGTAGATTTCGAAATAAGGCCA